AGAAATAGATAAAAAAAAAATGTACTTGAAAAGTAACTAAATAAAATTTAATATTAAAAAAAAAAAAGAGCACTCTGTTTTAAGGAGCACTCCTAAGTGTCCGGTCGTTAGAATACTGATACTCAGTAGTGTAGCAGGAATTGTAGTGGAATATTTGGTAGTAGAGAAGAAGCCCATGTTTCTCATTAGAAATTTCTAGGTGGCTAGGTATTAGCTAATGGATTCATGGAGGAAACTGGTAAAAGAATAAGTCATGGTCCAGCTTAGGTGATGGCCCCAAACCAGGAAGAATGGCCACCATTACCCCCAAACTCTTTATTTCTTTAGGTCAGTGATGTCTCTGCAAAAATGGTTATTGGCTTTCACTTTTATTTCAGCCACTGTTCAAATGGGCAAATTTGTCAGTGGCGAACAGTTGTAAGAAAACACATTAAAGATCATTCCCGCAATGTGATTCAGATTTTACTGCCACACCTGGGTAAAAAGGAACACCATCACAAGTTTCAACAAATGCAACAGCCAACAGAGGAAGGGAATATTGATGTTGCACTTCTGGTGAGACAGCACAAAGGAGCACCGCTTCGCTCCAGCTGGCGCTGCAGACTGACTGACGTTCCTCTGGAGTGTCTGCGGTCAGGACTGACCATCAAACACAGACACTTATCCAGGGGGTTTGGGGAGAAGCCTCTCCCTTTCCAATCTGCGTTGACTTCTCTTTCTCTGAGGAAACTTCCTTTCAGATCAAGTTTATTTTTTCTGTAAGAAAAAGTCTGAAGGAAAAGGAATTTAATCATTTATGTAATATGTAATTACAACATACATACAATGTTATATAAGTGTGTACATGTATAACTTTTATATATACATATAACTTTATAGCAGCGTACATATAACTTTTGCAATAACGTTCACAGTTGACCTAGAAATTTAAGAATTTCCTTAACAATATCATTTACCCCAGATACACGCTAGCACTGTCTTCTTTCATTTGTGATGAAGCAATTATTAGTTAGCAAGAAATTTTCTTATCATTTTAATAGTTTTATGAAGTTGGATTATAATCTAGGGCAGAGGTCATGTCTATTGCTGTCATGTTTTTAAGTTAGAGGTCTTGTCTTTGATGAATTATATTTAATCATATGATTGGAAAATTGCAAAATTCAGTGATTTCCCATGGGTTTTCTGTTTCTTCAATAAATGAGTCGAAATACTATTGTTTGGCAGTCACTCAACGTGCATTACTCTGCAGTGTACTTCCTCATTATTCTTCTAAGACCTCGGAATAAGTAAACTTCACCTAATAAACTCCTCCTCCAAGGTTACAACAGTTTTGCAATTGCAAGCAATTAAAAAGCCAACTTCTGAAATTAATTTTTGTATAACATGTCAAGTACCAAGCAGAAGGAAAAGAAACTTATTGCAAATACAGTTATTCATAGTTATTATGAAGGGTACACAGTGGCTTTTTGTACGTTTTACAATAAGAACATCTGTTGTTTTTTTACAAACGTAATTACGTGGTTCTGAAGCACCTTTACAAATTCACTGGCACTCAGAAAGGCTGAACTTTGGCACCTTGGCCTTAGCCTATTCTTTAATGGGTCCTGTTTGAGTTGAGTAGTTTAGTTTCTTTTTCAAAATTTGTCCTTGATATGTGAGGAGGATAGACATAGGATATATAGTTTCTGGAATAAAACTGCCTGCAAATAATGTTTATTTTTAAAAATTTATTTAATTATTGTTCAAGTACAGTTTTCTGTCTTATACTCCCATCCCAGCCCACCCCCCTAAATAATCTGTTTAAATGGGCAAATCATTATTTCATGCCCAAAAGCTTATGTTGGAAATACCTTGACCGATCAGTTCTTTGAACAATTAGAGCAATACATTTCAAAGGAATGTAATAGCCATTATTCCAATTTCCCTTAAGCTATTAGCTGTGCTACAGTGTGACATCATCACAACATTCAATATTTACTGAACTCAAAGTGAAATAGATGCTAAACTGAACTGTGAGATAATACTTATTTCCTGGGAATTGGCTAGTTTTGAGACTACATTTCATTCCTTTATTGTTAAATCTAGACTTAAAGAGCTGGTGTATTCCAGGAGGGTGAGTAATGCTATTCCATAAATCCAAGCTAGGTAAGATTTATGATTTATAAATATACTTTAAAAACTTGTTCAAAGTCATATTGAAGTCCAATTCAGTTACCTGCAATATATACTATGGAGAGGAATAAAATAAAAGGTGAATCACAAAAGAATGCAGTAGTTTTTGCTCCTTAAACTTTATTTTTATTAAACATATTATTTACATAGTTGAGGATGATAGTAAAAAAGAGGCATTGTGATATGTTATATGTACGTTAGGCTTAGTTTTCTTTTAAGGAATGGTTTGGCAATATAGATTTATGGCAGCTGATAAAAAGGGGGACTAGTTTAGGAAGAAAGATAAGCAGGAAGGGAAGGCCGTCTAGAACACGCCCCTTTACTGAGTTTCTAGCTGGCTCTTGTCATGCATCTTGGACTTAAATTCTTTGACCGAAGAGTTTATTCCTCAACTAATAAGAATATTTTTGGGAATAAAAACAAGGAGTAAGTATACTCTCTATAGATGACATAATTATATATCTCTGTCTTAGTTTTATGTACTGTGGAATCTTCTATCTACTAGAGTCTTATTTTGAGCAATAAATTCTAACTCAGATGTAAATGTGATTCACGTAGCAATGGTCAACAAACATGGTTGGGCATTCTGTGAGTAAGCATGAAGAGATAATGTAGCTAAAGATAATGTAGCTAAAGAGATAAAGTTGCTCTGAAAGGTGTGGCTCAGTTGGTTGGACATCATCCCTCAAACCAAAGGGCTGTGGGTTTGATTGCTGGTTGACACGTGCCTAGACTGTGACCTCCGTCCTTGGCTGGGGCATGTATAAAAGGCAACCAATCAATGTTTTTCTCTCACAACAATGTTTCTCTCCCTCTTTCTCCCTCCCTTCCCCTCTCTCTAAAATCAATAAGCATGTCCTCTGGTGCGGATTTAAAAGAAAAGGAAGAAAGAAAAATATACCTAAAGTCTAATGTAGTATGCTTCATAAAATGATGACTCAGCCCCAAACCTTTTATCATTTTGGCAAATGCATAGAATTCAATGAGTGTGATCTAAAATTGTCATTTTCCCTCACTTCTATTTCTGTGGTTCTGATACCAGCCAAAGTGAAGGAGTAATTTACACACACACACACACACATATTAAGGGTCTTTGATTCTTTCTTGGAATGTTTTGCAGCCACTTTGTAGAAACAACTAAGGTCCAGTTCTGAATGGTTAAAACTTTGGTGGTGATGTTGGCCTTTTGACTTGTGTGGGAAACCTGTAAAATCTCCACTGCCTACATTTTGGGGGTATAGGGGAAAGGAGGAGAGTCTTAGAATGGAGGGTGAGGTTGGGAGTGAGGTTGCCATCGACATGGGGAGTTTCTTGGCAGAGAGAGGCTTCCTGAGATGGGTGATGGAGAGGACTCTTGGAACGGGGCTAAAATGCTTCTGAGTCACCTGACTGTTGGGCTTGATTAAAATTCTAATTTTCGTTGACTCTGTGGCTGATCCCTTGATCTTTTTTCACTCCTGGTTCTGCTAATGTGTTTTTCCCCCTCCTCTGGGCATGGTGAGCAGTCTATAAATATCTTATGTAGAGCTTCCTCTGATCTCTGCCCTTTGTTCTCTGGCTTTAGTGAGCTAGGTGAGCATTTAGCTTTTCTAGGGAAACATTTTTCAATCATTAAACCTTTGGGGGAAGAATGTAGAAAAACAGTTTTTTAAACCCCTCAGTTTATCTTTCCAGTATCTTTCAGAATGTTTGAAGTGATATAATAAAAAAGTGTTTTTCTTTCAGTCATGATAAGTAGGGAGATGATAATGCTTCCCCCCCTTTTTTTTTTTACCAGTATTAGAAGAATCTATATGTATAATATGTGGGACATAAAAACTGTCAACTGTGTTTTGCTCTCATTTCCATTAAACATTTTTATTGATATATAGATTGATAAGCTATTAAAATGTCTAATAGTCTTAGAAAAAGGTATGCAAGGGGGTTGTTTGCTCCACTGCTAAGATGAATACATCTGTTATCATCAGAAGTGTTGTTCATTGAGCTTGCATATTTTTGAACACATGTGGAGCCAGATTTAAGGAGGGAACATGGGTCTGCTGAGAAATATATAATATATTAAAATAAGACATAGCAACACATGCTCACCGACTGTAGGCATTAAAAGGGAATTTTATATTCACCCGGCCACTTCACACACTATGTTTTTCAAATATTTAAGATAAATATTGCCCTGGCTGGTGTGGTTCAGTGGGTTGAGCATCACCCTATAAACTGAGGGTCAATGGTTGGATTCCTGGTCAGGGCACACGCCTGGGTTGGGGGCCAGGTTCTTGGCTGGGCATGGGTGAGATGTGGCAATCAATATTTCTCTCTCACATCAATGTTTCTCTTCTTCACTTTCTCCCTTCCCCCTCTCTACAAATAAATAAATAAAAATCTTTGAAAAGATAAATATTGGTTCATGACTGATATTTCACCTTATGTAAACTTGCCTTGTGAAGTCGTAAGAGAATTCTCACAGTGGTGGCTGTTTGTAGGCTCACACGTTGTAGGCTCTACCCAGGTGGAGAATTTCATAAGGCGTGTTTTTTTTCTACCTTATTTAAAAATTTTAGTTATTCTTAAGGATTCCGTGGTTACTGCTGGATATAAAACCAGGAAGGCTTTGGTTCCTTTTGGTTCTCTCGCTAACTGTAGGGAAGGGTGCAGGCTTTGTTTGGCATATTTATAAAAGTGAAACAATTAATGATATAATATGCTTTTAAGACTCCAGGAAAGGAGACATGTCGGCAGTGCCGGTGAGTGTGGCAATGGAGGGGCTGATGTTGCTCTTTCCAAGGTAGCAGAACGCTTCTAATTGCTGCTCACTAATCTCATGTTCCTAGGTGGATTAAGTTCGAAGAAAAAGTGGAGCAGGGTGGGGAGAGATGGAGCAAGCCCCACGTGGCCACGTTATCCCTTCACAGCCTATTTGAGCTGAGGACATGTATGGAGAAAGGATCCATCATGCTTGACCGGGAGGCTTCTTCCCTCCCACAGTTGGTGGGTAAGTATGTTGTTTTAAGCACCTATCATTTTTTTCACCTTTTCCTACCTATTTGTGAGTCTCCATCAATACAGATGACCTCTAGTGTAAGCAGAGTTGAATATTCTGGAACATGTATTTTCTCTTTTTTATGGTATGAAACTAGTAAGGTTTACTGTAGAAAATTGGGAAAATACAGACACATGTTAAGAAGAAAATTTAAAAAGCCAATCATTGCACCTATATCTGGTCACAGTCATTGTTAACATTTTGGCATATTTTCTTCCAGTTTTGTTTCTCCATCTTCTCTCTTACACTCTTCATTTTGTATGTTATCTTACAAAAATTAATATTGCCATTATATTATGTATATATAGTTTGCATTTATTTCTTTCACTTATTAGCATAGGATTAATATTTTGAATGGAGCCTCCACCCAATCCTTGGTTGTGTTGGACTGGATTTCTGGGCACTTAGATTTCTACAACTCTTTGACCTTAGAACTGAGCTTCTCTGGGCCTTAGTTTTGTCATCTGTAAAACAGGATTTAAATCTTCTGTAGAAAGAAAAATAGTCTAGTTCCAGGTCAGGGCTGATTTGTAGGTGAAAGTCAAGCTCCTTGAACTGCATGTAGAGAAAAGTTGTCTGAGGCAAGAAGCCAGCAGAACCTTACAGATTAGTGACTGAGTCGGTCACGTCAGCTCCCAGTAGCGTTTGCACAACCCCCTTCGACTCAGTGAACCTAGTGGTGCAGGGCAGCTTTGACATCTTTTGCAATTAGTGTTGTGTAGTGAATGTTAACTCATTATGTTGAACACCCTGGGTACATAGCACTACATTCCAAATAGTAGTAATTGTTTTTATTTTTTTAGCAAGTGCTGGGCCTAAGTGGCCTTATTACCCTTCACATCTAGGTATAGAGAAAACAGCATAGATGTGTTATTCATTGAGCACACTCTCAAAAACAGGTGCAGGGGCTTTGCCTACTGTTCCTAGGAGAAATTCATAATTAGGTGACCGCTGGGCCTGTTTGGATGACTGCACTTTCCCACAGGGTCTGGAAGGTGCCCACCTTGGGATTATGGGGACGAGGATGTGAATCACGACTCTGCAGAAAGTGACCAGTGTAAAATGTCTGTATAATTTCAGCTTGCTGCAGAATTTCTTTGACTGTCTTTAGACAAAAGGCTTGTCTGTGGCATCTTTGTCTTTATAATAGACAATGGGGAGGCTGTAGCATTTATATTGAGAGAAAAGATTAGGTGTCAAATGAGGCATATATCTAGCTGATGTATATGTATATATTCCATTTTTCAGAGAGCTTATTAGTTAGATTTGCAAGGAAGCTCCACACTTTTCATGCATCTGAGGTATTAAGGTGCAAAAGGAGAAGGGAGAAAGACTAATGTGAAGGTGCTGGGCGGATAGAATTAATTAGTTCGCCCATTTGTTCTGCAGTGGTGTATAAGCTTCTACAATGTGCCATTTACTGTTCCAGGGCCTGGAATTAGGTTTGCAAATCCACCACTTTGTAAATGAGATAAGTCACCAATCCACATCTCCACAGGCAGTTAAGAGATAATGTAAGAAGTACTGCTTTATGTAGAATTTTTCATGTTTGACAAGGCAGGTGAGGCTGAAATGGACATTTGACTTATGAGGAGAGATCTTGGATTGTCGTACTGAGGAAAGGTGGAGCTGTCTACCAAGACAGAATCAAACAGAAGGAATGGTTTCTTGGGCGATTGGCTCCACTGACTTTTTTAAAAAACTAAATTGAAACTTTACTTTTATGTGAACATTTATTATGTTATTTGGATTTATTTTTCTTAATATTTTTATCATTGAAACTCTTGAAGCTTTCAAATTCAATAGCTGAATAATGACTGTGTTACTTTAGCCAAACGATTCTTTGGCCCAGAGACATTAAGGGTAAGGAGTCTTCCTTCTTCCTTGTGGCGGCTTCTTCTGCAACTCAGCAACAAGAGTGTAAAATCGGGAACATTAAGATTCTAAGTTGAATAAAGGCATTCATTTCATGGCAAATCTGTTCTTCACATACAATGAATGATAAGTCAGCTTTTCTTATAAGACATCTTATGAATGAACTAGGGTATAACAATAAGTTATCTTAGTGATGCGAATACAAGTCATATTTAGTAGAAACAGAAATATGGAGAACAAAAACGTGTCTCCTAACAGAATGATTTGTATATTGATGATTTAGTTTTATAATTGTACACTAATTAAAAAATGAAAACATAGGCCAAGCACCTTACAGAACTGAAAGCATCATCCTAAATAACAGGTTGCCAATGGTATTTACTAAGTTTAAGGAAGGTTCTTTGTGAGTGTCCTCCCTAAGTAGCCGATCACACTAGAACACACTCTTAAACATGCATGTGTCAGTCCTCGTCCACAGCTTCTTTCACTCATTGTGAAAGGCTGCATGAGAGATTATTTTCTTAAAAAGTATCATGGTTAGCAAAGGTTAATCTAGTTTTTGAGTGAGAATTTCTGTATTCTTAGACTTTAAGAACTCAGCTGGAGTGAAAATGTCTGAAATCAGACAGGTTGAAAAAATGCATCAGACTTGCATACGTGCAGGGCAAGGCAGACATTACGCTGTGACCTGGTGATGTATTGGCGTTCTAAGGGGAGAAAAGCCATTGTGGCTTAAAGGTCACCAGTAAGGTTACTATATTAAAAAGAAAAAGTCTTACTCTAGTTTTTTGTTACTGCCCGAAACTTTGTTGTTTGGAGATTCATTTCACTGAGCCAAGTCCTCTATTAAAATTCACTACCATCTGACAGAAGTCACACATTAATTCCATGAGACTCAGGGTGAAGTTGTAGAAAGGGTGGTGAATTTAAAGTTGAAGGGGGTTTAGTGAAAGTCTACCCCACTAGCATTTATGATCATGGGATGGATGGGGCAAGTTACTTAACTCTTTAGTGGTCCCAGTTTACTCATTTGTGAAAGCAGGATGAAGGTGGTCCTTTCAGGGTGGTTGTGAGAATTAAGGGAGGACATCCGGTGTGATTATTACATACTTATGTAACTATCTCAGTATCTCAGTGTGCATGCTTTTATCCAGGTCTTTCTGTGTGTCAGCAGAGGGCAGAGTGAGAGAGATGCTCAGGGGCTTCATGGACAAGAGAGGAGATTCTGAACCATGTAGTGCTTGGAACTGGAAATAACAGCTTCTTTGCCGTACCTGGAGTTGGTCAGTGAGGGTGACGAAAGTTAAAGTTGAATTATATACTTGGACTTCTCTGTAAAACTGCCATTGGGATCTTCATCACTAGAAAGAACCTTTTAATGTGCAGCTAACTGTCCTTTTACATGAAATAGAAGACAGAGTCCCACGTTACATTGGAGACTTGTCAGCCAAATGGCTAGAGAGGTTCTGGTATTTACTAAATTTAAGGAAGGTTCTTTAAGCACTCTGTGTTCTCACTTTAGTTTTCCATTACTTTTTATTATCAGCTGTGATCTGAACTTTTTCTCTAGTCTCCATCCATTTACTTAAAAATTGTCATTAAATTTAAAAATTAGATACTACTAGGTTACTGTGAGGTACGATCAGTTAGTAATATGTTTACTCTTCAGCCCCTGGGCCAAGCAGGCAGAGAGCCAGTGGTGTCGTTCTGGAGCTGATAATACAGAAAAAATTCAGAAACAACTAATAAGTCAATAAAACAATTCGTAAGCAAAAGAAAGGACCAGATTGGCAGGAATGCAAGGAGAACATGTTTGAGAGAGTGTAACTGGCTGAGAAGAAATACTTTTTTTTTAAGTATATTTTATTGATTATGCTATTAGAGTAGAACCATAATTTTCTTCCCATTTATCCCCCTCCACCTCCCGCCTCCCTGCCCTCCAGCATTCTCCCCCACCTTAGTTCATGTCCATGGCTCATACATGTAAGTTTTGGCTTCTCCATTTCCTATACTATTCTTAACCTCCCTCTATTTTTTTCATGTTTTTTATTGTCGTTCAAGTATAGTTGTCTCCATTTCCCTACCACTGCCCCCCTCCATCCCAGCCCAGCCATCCCCACTTCTCACCCTTGATCCTACCCCACTTTGGTTTTGTCCATGTGTCTGAAAAGAAATACTTAAAAATCCCCTGAAACAACCTAAATCTTGCAGAGTTAAAAAACAGAAAGGGAAAAAAAGCCCTTATTTTATTTTAAATGGTGGAAGATGGCATGCTAACTTAGAGAGTTATTGTCATTATGTGGTTATCAAAAATTATTATTTTTTAGCAGAGGGTTAAGTGGAGTTGTTTTGTCCTGAATCTAGTTTAGAATTATGTGCGGCTAAGTCTTTTTTTTAAATTATTTATTGATTTTTAGAAAGAACGGAAGGGAGAGAGAGAAACATCAATTTATTTTTCCACTTATTCGTGCATTCATTTGTTGATTTCTTGTATGTACCTGACCGGGAATCAAACCTGCCACCTTGGCATATTGGGATGACGCTCTAACCAACTGAGCTACCTGGCCAGGGCCTGCAGCTAAGTCTTAAAAGATGCATCTCCTTTTCACTCCATTTATCTCAACAAATTTATGTCAACAAATGAGAAGAAAAAATAATAGCAAGTGTGAATTTATCAAGCAAAAATAGCAAGCTTTTTAAGCCCTTTTTGCAGTCTACCTGCTATTTCTTAGTGGCATCTAATGGAAATCTGGGAGGCATCTCCCCCTCCTGCAGGGCCAAGGTACCTGGTCATGAGCAGTGGGAGACTGTTTAAGCAGACTTTACTTCTTACACTTGTATTTAAAAATTTAGCCTTGATTCCTGGTCAGGGTTGTGGGCCAGGGCCCCATTTGGTGGTGTGCGAGAGGCAACTGATTGATGTGTCTCTTGCACATTGATGTTTCTCTCCCTCTTTCTCCTTCCCTTCTTTTCTCTTTAAAAATAAATAAATAAAATCTTAAAAAAAGAATTAAAAGAAAATAAAAAATAAGAATTCAGCCTAATTCTGATTCTCCTCAGAACCTCCTCTGATTTTCTTCATGAAGAAACCCTTCTTAATACTTATAGAAAGATCTATCTTTGAAGCATAAAACATCATTTTCACTGATTATTTTAGTAGCTTATTATTACTATTATTATACTTCTACTTTTAAAGAGTGTCATCCACATGTGAAACTATGTACATGGGAATTTTCCTCCTGTGTTAAGTTAAAAGAATTATAAGTCATTTCAGGTATTTTTTGTGTGTGTGTGATGGGAAATGGATTAGGAAAATGTAGCTCTGTTTTTTGGAGTTCTCATTTTTATATTTAAAGGTGTTCCTGGCCTGTCGCTGTTGGCAGATGTGTTAGTCAAGTTGTTTTTTGCTTTTTATACCTTTTTTATTTTCAAAATGGTAATATATTTATGTTTTATCAAAAATCTATGTTCATTTTTATATAATCCAGAAAAATATAACACACAAAAATCAAAATACCACAAATCTTATCTTTTACAGCTATTCTCCCAGCAGTTTTTCTATATATCTGTTTACACATATGAAACTTACTTTATAGAATGCAATCATACTATAACACTTTAATTATTTAAACTTAAAAAATAATACAAATTATCTTTCCATGTCATTAGATATAAATGTAAACATTTTAATGGCTGCAAAATATTTAAAAATCTATTATTCGGCATTGAAATTGCCTTCAAGTTTTTTTATAATTACCCAAATTTTATTGTATGTTTTAAACTATATTTTATTGATTATGCTATTACAGTTGTCCCGTTTTCTCTCCCCTTTATTGCCCTCTGCCCTGCACCCCACCTTCCACCAGCATTTCCCCCCGTAGTTCATGTCCATGGGTTGTACATATAAGTTCTTTGATTTCTCCATTTTCTATACTATTCTTAACCTCCCCCTGTCTATTTTGTACCTACTATTTATGCTTCTTATTCCCTGTACGTTTTCCACCATCCTCCTTCCTCGCTCTCCTCACTGATAACCTTCCATTAGACTGTCAACTGATTTCTCAAAAGAGACCTTGCCGGCAAGAAGAGGCTGGAAAGTATTCCAAGTCAAGAAATGCAAGGACCTACAATGAAGATTACTCTATCCAGCAAAGCTTTCATTTAGAATGGAAGGGCAGATAAAGTGCTTCTCAGATAAGGTCAAGTTAAAGGAGTTCATCATCACCAAGCTCTTATTTTATGTTAGAGGGACTTATCTAAGAAAAAGAAGATTAAAAAATATGAACAGTAAAAAGACAGCAAACACAGTTATTAACATCCACACCTAAAACAAAAGCAAGCTAAGCAAAGAACTACAACAGGAACAGAACCACAGAAATGGAGATCACATGAAGGGTTAGCAAGAGGGGAGTGGGAGGAGGAGAAGAGGGGAGAAGGTACAGAAAATAAGTAGCATAGATGGTAGGTAGAAAATAGATAGGGGGGAGGGTAAGAATAGTATGGGAAATGTAGAAACTAAAGAATTTATGACACATGGACTTATGAACTAAGGGGGGGAATGTGGGTGGGAGGGGGTGTGCAAGATGGAGGGGAATGAAGGGGGGGAAAATGGGACAACTGTAATAGCATAATCAATAAAATATATTTAAAAATGTATACAAATTCATAACAAATCCAACAAATTCACAACTATCAACAACTGAACCTAAAAACAAAAACACACTAAGCAAACAACTAGAACAGAACAGACTCACAGAAATGGAGATCACATGGAGCCTTGAAGTTTTTATTGCAAAGAAAAGAAGTGAACGTTTTTGTCATGTGTTTGTGAAATTAATTATTTCCTTAATGTAGATTTCTGATGGTGAAATATCCGAAGGGTTTGAACACATGAAAGGGTTTTGTTGTGTGGTTGCCGCTTGGCCCTCACGAAGGGTTGAACTTGTTACCACAGTCATCACCAGTGTGTGGAGCTGTCTGTGGTGCACATCCTTCATGTCTCTGGGGGTCAGCCTTTTAAATTGCCACTTTGATGGGTTAACAGATATCTCATGATTGGTGTCATTTCTGTTGTTTAGCAGAAACTCTGCATATATCAATTTTTTTTGTCTAGAGCTTCCTTTTCAAATAAAGAAAAGTACTGTGTGATATGGGAAAAAAAGATCTAAACTCTGAATCAGAAAACCTGGTTTTATGTGGGGGGGAACTTGCCTCTAATTAGGCTATGTCTGTGAGCAAGTCTCTCTTGCCCTGTGTGTAACAAGGGGTTGGACTTGACACCCCCTGAGGTTCCCTTCAGCTCTGCTGTCATCTAAGGTTGGCACATTCTTTCCCAATTGGTAACGTCTGTGGGATTTTGAACACAGAAGGCTTAATTTCAGTCAGTGTGGTTGTGAAATGTGACTGCCCCCACTTTCCTTGAAAGGTTTTGTAGTTTATGCTTAAAGAGATCCCTGCAATGTGGGCCATTTTTATAGAAACTTAATGAAGGGCATAAGCCACACAGATCTTTTAACCTGTTCTAACCTGTGATTTCCAGGCATTAGGAACAGGTCTGGCTGTGGCACGTGCAGGATTGGTTTGCAATTACAGGGGAGGGCAAGAATAGAGGGAGGCCCACCAGGGAGGCCCCACCGGGAAGGATAGATAAGAAACACTTTAATCCACAACCCCGGAATTAGAGTAGGAGTTTGGTAACACTTGCAGCAGGTACGCTGGGGCTGTTTGTTTATTTTTATGCTTCTTCTGTAAAATGGACTTTCTACATTAAACAAGGCTTAAAAGGGAAAGGAGAGAGGTTGTGTTTAGTAGCACTTAATTATTTTGCTGTGGAGCAGAGCTTCAGTTGTAATTATAGAATCAGTTCTGAGAGTTTTACTGAGAAAGGTTTGCACAGTTAAAAATACTGAGAGCTAAAGGCCATTGTGAAACCAAAACATTCCTATGGGAAAAGCTCCCTGCCTCGCGCAGGCTCCTTACCGAGTGGCCCAGAGTTATGTGGCATTTATGGCACCTGTGTGGGCACATGATGGCGCGTCCTGGGCTCAGCCTCCGCTCAGCTCCCAAATAGTGGATTGTACACTGAGTAAATCATTTGTTTCCAGCCAAAGGCTGTGAGGCCAGTTCTGTGGCTGGCTTGCGAAAAAGAGAATTTCTTATTTTTTAATTTTTTTCAGTTATGGTTTATATTCAATATTAATTTGTATTAGTTTCAGGTGTACAGCAGAGTGGTTAGACAATCGTATGCTTTGCAAAGTGTTTCCATACCCACCTGGCACCATAGATAGTTATTGCTGTATTGTTGACTATGTTCCTGTGCTGTACCTTACATCTTCACGCCCATCTTATTTTTGATTAGAGGGAAACTTGTCCATCAGCAGAGGCCCCCTGGAGCAGTTTCTATGAAACACAGTCATCTAGTTAAAACCATTCTTAAAGGAGCTCATAGAAAATTTAATTTTTTATAGTAAGACTAAGATGTTCAAATTTTATACAAAATCCTAGTCAGGTTATACTTTTAAATGACTAATGGAATATACTAGGAAGGCTTTAGTTGGATCTAAATAAGCATCCCTTCTTACATAAGACTAAGGCATAATTTTATAGTATAATTGCATTATTGGATTAATCGGTGTTCAAATAACCTGATATGGGGAAAGGTATTATTATTGTTCTCCTTTACTTGGTCTTATTATAAAGAAAATAAAACATGACAGAAGAATTTAGAGAACTACATAAAAAAATCAATAATGTTACTATTTTAAATTTTGCATGTGCTCTTCAACTTTTTTTTCACATCATTTATATTTCTGGCACACTTGCTGTGAGAGAGTACATGAAATTTTCTTTTTAAAAGAACTATTTATTCATTTTAGAGGGGAAGGGAGGGAGAAAGAGAGGGAGGGAAACACCAAGTGCGTGGTTGCCTCTTGCTCACCTCCCCCCCCCCAGGGACCTGGCCCACAACCCAGGCATGTGCCCTGACTGGGAATGGAACTGGTGATCCTTTGGTGCAGGCTGTCACTCAGTCCACTGAGCCACACCAGCCAGGGCCAGTACATGAAATTTTCTGTTACCTTTTTTCTTAACTGAAAAATGTAAATTACTGATGTGTTACTCATAGAAGAACTAATTAATGTGAATTCATTATTAACTGGGATTTAAAAAATGATCAAGACAATTTTTCCTTTCCAAAAATGTAATTAATACTGGAATATTTATAACTCTGTCATTAATATCCATATTCTTTGTACCCTGTATCTTTACCCTTCACATAAAGTGGGAAGTTTGAAATTTGGAAAACAGAATATTGATGTTAAATTTGAGGATGCCATTTATAAACTTAGAGTAAAAAATTAACTTCGTGGTCTTGTGACTTTTGTTTTTGTTTTTGTTTTGTTTTTGTATCAGAGATGATTGTTGACCATCAGATTGAGATAGGCCTTTTGAAACCCGACCTTAAAGATAAGGTGACCTACACTTTGCTCCGGAAGCACCGGCATCAGACCAAGAAATCCAACCTTCGATCCCTGGCTGACATCGGGAAGACAGTCTCCAGTGCAAGTAGGATGTTTACCAACCCTGATAATGGTAATGCAGGGGCCGACCGGCTGCTGCTCTCTTTACCAGTCCCACTCACCTTTACTCCATCTCTGGTCATCTTTTTTAAAAACCCCCTCTCCGTATTTTTTTTTCTCAAGTTCACGTGCCATAGCCATTTCATAATGACACTTTCTATCCCATTGGGCAGGTTTGCAGTCCTGTTGGAAAGATCTCAGCGGTTGTAGTAGGCTGCAAATGCCGAGGTGTCTTGCTTGCTCCATATACATCTATTCTGATGGACTGAGATGGTTTGGCAATAGTACTGTTGGGAGGACAGCTGAATGTTCGAGGTGAATCAGCAGAGTTTTAGATTACTGAGTACATCAAGGAGTACGCCTTTGACATGGTAGTTTGTCAGAATCAGGAGGACAGACTAAGATAGGAATGTTCTGAAATCTCATATCGTGAAGTATTTGGTTGGTGTCCAGCCTATAAATGATCATTCATCAAAATAAAGCTCACTATTATTTTTCTACTTAAAACAACCATCTGTTCTTCTGTTAGATGTTAATGATTAGATGTGAGAATAATGATTCAAGGTGGGATATTAACCATATTATGTAGCAATAGGAAAGACACTGTCTTATTTATATTCCATGGCATTTACCACAGTTTTCTGTGAAGTGTCTCTCTCCTGCGTCATTGTCTTTGTTTCAAATAAATTTCATGATTGGATACAATCTGAGAGCAGAGAAAGTAATTTCCACGGAGTATTGAAAAATGGAGGCATGGAGTAAGGAGTCGCTAAGCATTGAGTTGGTAGAAGTAGGTCTCTTCCATCCCACCCCAGCCTTTTTTTTTTTATTAAGATTAAGAGAAATGTGTAGATAAGGGAGCTTCTAATTAATTGCCCTCAGCTGCATTTTAGAATTACATAAAACATGCTGTCATAGAAAAGGTATGCTGAGTGGTATAAAATGAATTTTAACTCAGCCAGTCCATCTTTGGAAATTGGTTTTTCTGACTAAATATTAAAAGAAATGCTAGTCTTGGAAAAAAGCTTACAATTAGCAGACTTTCACGGGTATATTTTTGAACCTTTCCATCATTGTTGTTTCTTCATGAGTGTTTAGTTCCTAAATAGAACCACATGAAAACTTCAGTTGTATTGAGTGACATATATTTTTTAAAAGTAAAATCAGTTACAAATAAATAATTAAAATAAAATCGCTTTATTAAAAACATTCACTAAAGAAAGAGTCTAATCTAGAATATTCCTACTACAATTTGATGGCTTTGCCATTACCTGGAATACTATTGCTGCCTAGATACATTTTGATTTTTTGTGAGTTTTTAAATTGTATTTTTAAAGGTAGGCATTGTTTAATGGTTGGAAGTGTTATGGGATGACAAAATTATTATGACTGGTGTCATAAATATTTCATTTTAAAAGCACCCCATGTGTTTAAAATCATGGCAATTAATGTATAATTCTGTGTTTTATATCTTATTTATTATTCTGTCATATAAAATGAACATCCGCATTTGAAGGTTGGGTTTTTTTTTGTCATGAAGTTGGTGGTAGCGTAAAGAATCAAGGAAGTGCATTTTTTCAAATATTAGCATATTTGCAAAGCTAAGAGGAGCAGACAGAATGAGGGCCTTCCACCAGTGCGCCTTGAGCTCCACGCCGTGGGTGTGCAGGCAGAGCAGGAGTTAGGAACAGGTGTGTCTTAGAGGCCACCGCCTTGTGCCATAGGAGAAAGTATTTGGATTGAAATACAGCAAACCAGTTGATACATCTCATCACTTCTATCCTATCAGTAGATCTTTGCACTTCAGAAGAAAGTTGATATTACTTTTCCCATTCGCCTTTTCTCTTGTGAAATGTTATATACTCTGGACAAAAAGCAACTAGGAAGGGTGGGCAGTTCTTTTCCTTTCTGACTCTTCAGCTTACACACTGAAGCATGGAATTGGAGTAGGGCTTTTTAAACATGTTATTATTGACCTTTGTGTTACTCACCTTGTTTGAAATATCCAGAGGCAAGATTTGGCTTTGAGAGATGCTATAGCCATGGATTTCTCATGCCTCCAAGGTATACACTCTTAGAAATTATCAGATGGTAAATTTTTGGTTTTCTAGAGGCACTTAACTTATAAGTTTATACAGTTACCTTTGCATGGTACATTTAACTACTTAATATTTTTAATATTATGAAATATTCTTAGGATAAATTTCTAAAATAAACCAGAATCTTATATTTATTGTAGTCAGGACAAGATTCCAATATCTGTATGTAAAAGCTAGAGAAACATGTCATAGTCTAGAAAATAGATTTAGTGACACCGTCAGCTTTGGTTAGGAGAGCAACAATGTAACTAATGGCTGACATTCATGAAGGTAGTTTAGAATTGGAAATTTTTTTATTTCACAGCAGGGAGGTGCTGGAGCCACCTCCCATCTACTCATAGGAGTTCATTGTTACCAGGAATTTTATGAGCTGATTGTAAACATAGCTATTATTAAAAATTAAATTATATAGACATGCTTAAATATTTTTAATTACATTAAAAATAAATGTAATAAAACTCAAAGTTCATCACTTCCTACTTATTTACTATAGTCTATGCTCTTGAGGTTATTTACATCTGTTGTGCCTGTATGGTAGCAATACTACAAAATGATACCCTACTGTGTGCCTTTTCCCAACTCTGCATACAGGGACTTCATACATGTAATTCGAAATCACTCATGATGGCAGTATTTACACCATATGAATCAGCAAGGCTACAAATGAGGGCTGGATTTATTGGTAATCGTCTCTAGACTTAAAAAAAGTGATAAAGAAAATGCTAATAATACAGATTCAACTTAAATGCGTGTAATGTCTGTAGTTGTGGTCTTTGGCAACTGTAACAGATTTCTGTATCTTAAACAACTACATTTATTTACCATTGTTCTGGAGGCTGGGAAGACCAAGATCAAGGTACTAGAGAGCTGGCCCTCTTCTGGGCTTGTAGACGGATGGTTACCAGCTCACCGTATTTTCACTTGGTGGAGAGAGATTATCTTTTTCTTGTCTTTTCTTATAAGGGCACTAATCCCACTCAAGATGGCTCTGCCCCATGGCCTAATTACCATTCAAAGGCCTCACCTTCCAATATCGTGACATTGGGGGGTAGGATTGTCTTTATTTATTTATTTATTTATTTATATTGTATTTTCCCCCATTTTGAGGATTTCAACACATGAATTCTGGGACAATGCAAACATTCAGTCCATCACAGCTGTTAAAATGTGAATATTACAAAGAATTGAGGCATTATTCCTCCGGTATTCAAAAACTATTATTATCTAGTTTAGCAAAGGAGTTACTGACATTACTGACAGACAGGTGAAGTCGGACATATGTCTCCATTATTTGGCTTCTGTCTTGTTAGCATGCATGATAATAGAGGTTAAGCATGGATGTAGGAACTACGCTTGTTTGTCAGTTGCCACAGTAAGTTGGTCACTGAAGAATTTGGTAAAAATCAATGAAAGCATTCTGTGAGAATCAGCTGGCTATCAGCAGGCCATTGACCAGATTACTGTGTATTTTATTATTCGTGTGTGTCCTGCACATCTTTCACGTTAGTAAAATTCACTGCAGGCACTCGCACACTTACACGTGCACACGAGTCTTCCCCCCTGATGGAGGGCTGGGTCTCCAGCAGCCACCGTCACAGTCACCACCACCGCCAGTCCTGTCACTGTCCAGCCGCAGCTGAAGATCAGCTCTCATGGGAGGGACCTGATGTGGCTCAGAGTTCAAGACAATTTTGTGTTTATAAAAAGAAATGATAAATATTTTTATTTGTTAGGAATTAGGGAAGAATGAGGCTAACTTCCAAGGTATTAATTTTTGTGAAATTGCCACTTGTTTGAGACATCTGTGAATTCTGATGGATATGTCTACCAGGTATGAAATTTTACATGAGTGCTCTCATTTATTAGTCTGTTAACTGAGGCATTTGTGTAGAGTTCGTGTTGCATGAAGAAATTAATGAATGAGGTTATCATTTCCTCTGGTGTTGGATTTCCCTTTACCTACTCTATTTATCACTCTTGTTTCAAGTTGAACCATATGAAATTGCCATTTTTGTGGGTGAGATGAAGTTGACTGTTAGTCGTTTCATATGATTTTGCCTGATACGTTGGCCCGAGATACTTAGGTCCTGTATTATTGTGGTTTACTATGAAAAAATAATATTCAAGCCTAGAAACATTCCCTAGTAGTATTTAAAAATCAAGGATAATGTAGTTAGCTTTTTATTAGAAAGTGAAAGTGTATATGTAATTACTATTTATTCAATAAATATTTAGTAAGATGTTCACAGTGTCCCTGATAATTCTGTTTTAAAAAGCCATGGTTTATAGGATGATCTTATTTTTTTAAATATCACTTACCATTTATATGGGTACTTTTGATAGTTTGAAAAAGATAAACCAGACCTGACTTGAGGACCATGATCAATTGGGAACCCGAATTTCAGTAATCAGCTTTCCTACCTTTGAGGAAATTTGGGCAAAGCTGTTATCAGTTTGTCCTAAATGATCATAAAAATGAATCCCTGTTTTGTTTTGTTTTTTTGTGGTCTGAGAGTATAGGTATTCTTTAGGAAAAGTAATTTTGGTTATCCAGTCCAACCTACACCTTGAATTTCAGTTTTCCCTAATATAATTTCATGACTCCATTTTTCATTAGTTTTTTAAGTAAAAAATTAGCAGTGTAATTTAGTACTCAGTTTCAATATCTATAAAACAGAGATAATACTAATTAAGTGAGATATAATGCATGTGAAATATTTAGAATGATAATTGGCACATAGAAATCACCCAGCCAGTTATAATAAATTATATATAATATGTTTAAACACAACTAAGGAAGAAAATCTTAAGTAAGAGTGGTTTTGGGAATTACATTTGCTCTATAGCTACTGTTTGGGAGGAAACTTATGGACATAGTGCTGGTTTATTTCCTCTGCCTTTTGGCAAGTGATGT